GTAGTTTAATAATGTGACTTCATCTTTTGTGATTTTATCAAGAACTTTATTTTTATTCGCTTTTCATTCTTTACATTATCTGATGTAAAAAAAAATTTTCGAATTGATATTGGAATTTCTTTTGATATTTGAAAAGTTCACTTTGTAATTTACATACTGTCTCTGTATCATTCCAATTTTACTGTCATGTATGAATGATATGGATTTCTTGACTGCATCCCCTTGTTATATCATCTATCTGAGCAGTACCCATTTATTACCCTTTGAATGTCAAAATTATAGACACATTAATTTTGTGGAAAAACAATTCATTGTCAAAAATATTTCCAATAACATTTTATTTTTCTGCCAAACACTTGTCAATATGTACTCCTGCCAAAATTGTTACTGTGGAATACTTTATTTTCGCTGGAATTAATTTTCGCTGAAAAGGCTTTTTGGGCGTTTTGTATGGAATTTATTTTCACTGATTTTTGGTGAGTTTAATGTGAAATATAGGAAAAAAAGTATATTCGCTGGATTTTATTTTCATGGAATCATCCCTTCAGCGAAAATAGCGAAAATAAATTCCAAGCGAAAATAAGGTATTCTACAGTATTATTCTTTTTTTTTTCTGAATTAATGAACCGGTATACACTTCAATGTACTATTGAGAAATTGATTGTTGATGGAAGATTGTCTTCTTCTGTTCCAGGACGACGTACGTCAAGAAGCAATTAATACAATAACGAAGCTAACAGGGGTTAGGGACAAAGAAGGTCTGCAAAAGTTGCTTATAGAAATTGGCGCAATGAAACCAATAGTTAACAGAGATGTAAGTAATTAACTATTTTTTTTAAAAAACATTTTTAGTCCCCGTTCGGACGAAGTCTGAAAACGGGGACTTATAATTCGGTCTCCATCTGTGCGTCCGTGCGTCCGTCCGGAGTCATATCTCAGAATCCCTTGGACCGATTCTGTTCATTCTTTGCATGTGCCTAGTACTTTATGTGGGACATATGCACATGCAGTGGTTTAGCGATTTGATTCAAAATGGCCGACTGGCAGCCATCTTGTTTTTCGAAAATGTTTTGGACATGCTTTGTCAGTTGTCATTCAAACTTGGTACATAGATTATACATGTTAGGATACATGTCCATGACGATTTATTTCGCAATTGGTTCAAAGATGGTCGACTGACAGGCATCTTGTTTTTTTTATGCGGTATCCTGGACGTGCTCTGTCAGTTTTCATTCAAATTTGACACATGCATGTACTTTATCCATGACAATTTGTTTCAAAATCTGGTCAAGGATGGCCGATTGACAGCCATCTGACTTACTACTATATTTCCACAATTTATGTACCATTTTCATTCGTATTTGGCACATACATCGTACGTATCAGTGTGTTTCGTAATCAGATCAAAGATGGCCGAATAACGGCTGTTTTTGTTTTTGGCCTTATTACTACTACACGGAACACATGTTTTGATGTAAATAAACAACCTGTTGTATACGCCACTTGGAACTCAAGTTTCAAGGACACGCTCACGACAACCCCTCCGATTTAATATGACGAGCACAAAGAGAACTTTCAAAAATTTAACGGGGACTGTGTCATTTTCAATGATTTGTCTTGAAAAGACTCTGCTTTGATTTCAAAATGATGCAGCTATCGTACTATACCTTATATTGTTATAACATTCAAAAAATTGAAAT